GTTCTCAGGTTCTTAATCCTATCTCTCCTCTCTCTCTCTATACAGTATGTATCTTCATTATATCTTGCTACTGTACATCAGTTTCTAATGTTGTCTTTAAGTTTGCTTTTGTCTCATACTAGGAAAGGCCTGAATTTATAATAAAGGCTTTAGAAGTACAACAAAAACTTTTTTTGGATGTAAATAAATACATTAGATTCATTCATCTTCATCCTGTTTTTAGAAATGCATCAGGATTTAGAATGTATTATATATACATGTGTGTAGTCGTGGCCGAGTGGTTAAGGCGATGGCCTTGAAATCCACTGGGGTCTTCCCGTGCAGATTTGAATCCTGCTGACTACGACCGTCTGGTTGTATTTACTGGAAATCCAAATAGCATTTTATACATACGTATTTTATTAAATACATATAGTACTCTATATAGATTATGTATAAGGAACGGCTTTAAGGTTTTTAGCACTTTGCAAGGAAAACCTTTCAGGTTTATGGTGTTTCAAGAGTGTATGGTATACTGAAGCCTGGATCTTACAGTGAAAATACTCAACAGAAATGCTCACAGTAAGGCACAGCTGTCTTTTTTTCACAAGTTTAAAGGTGGCCTAGACCTACACACAAAAAAAAAATGTGAAGCATTCTCATATGGATGGTGCAGACTAATTAAATCTCAGAAGGCAGTTCCTACACTACATATTTCGGTGTTTAAGGAATCTTGATATGCTGTAATCATGCTTGTACAATTCATATCATATGGATAATTGCAAGCCTTCTGTCTGTCCTGAGTGCTATCTTTAGAAATAGAGGCTACAATAAGTTTATGATTCTATCAAAAACAAGTACACAAAACAGCCAAGAATTTAGGAGAATACACAATGAAAAACTTCAAAACTGGAATGAATGAATGAACCCAGATGTCATAATAGTACATAAAATACAGAGTGATTATTTAGGAATAAAGCCACTTGCAGTAATCACTACATACTTTTCAAATGTGCAGTCATCCTCATATTATATGAGACATTACATTTGAAGCTGAGGTAGCAGAAATGCTGAGAAATGAAAAGAAATTATAGTAGATTTGGGTCTTCAGTCTAGAGAAAGTGATAAAACATTTCTCTGTCTAATTAAAATGTCACCCTGATGTGGTATAGTAATTACTTTGCAGTTGACACTTGTATTGGGCCGAAGGCTTTATCACACTTGGATAATGATCAACACCAACCCCCCATCTGGGCTACATGATTTCATTATTTTTAGAGCTCATTATTAAATTAAAACCTGGACAAATCGCCATGAATGAAGTATCATATTTAAATGCAAATTGTTGTTTTGTGATTATTTGTAGCTCTGCAATTGATTTAATTTGGGCAACGTTTCCATCTTATCCTGTGGAGATAGAAGTATTCATAAGTTTGTGTAATGTATTATGTTAAGAATGGACAGACTAATTGCAGTAGTCTGACATTTTGCATTGCAGGGACTGATGAGTTACTTTTAGAGAAGCATGTAGACTCAGTTCACAGTTCATGTGCAATTTTAATTTACTGTGCTTATTGCCAGGTTAACATTTGGCAATGGATGCCATTGGCCTTTTGTGATAGACATCAGCAATCTGAAGCTAATAAAATTAAATTGCTGACAGCTTGAAGGTGGAACAGAGGTTTGTGGAGATTTTTCAAAAAGTCATTAATGTTAACTTCGGTGTTGATAAACTAAAACAGTATTTGAAATTGATTTTGGCCTTTTCAATTTGTCTTCATGGATATAATGCATTTAGATATGCTAATGGAGTTTTTATTCCAGAGAAAGTTAATTGCCCAGTAACAGTGCTAACCAAACTAGAGACATAAATACAATTACATTATATTCATTATCGATATAAAATATCTATAGCACTATGTATAGTACATTCCCAATAAATCACGGGTAAATTTAAATCTTAGAATTAAAACCTGCATACCTGTGTAATAAAATTACAATGTGTTACAGATTTAATCTTTTTTCAGAATTTGTTTTTTAAATTAATGTGGATTTTCCTAAATAAACTTTATTGCCGTTAATGATCTTTGATATGAATATTGTTAACTGAATATATGAATCTTTTCTGCAACTGCATTAACTTGAATCCTTAATACTCAGTAGTTATGGAAATATAAACAGTATTGAAAGGTAAAATGACTTCCACATCATCCTCGGCTTTTCATTTGCATTCATTTCAAAATAAAATAAGCACACCATGAATTCTAATGATTCTCATTTCCCATATCTTTGAAGTTAAATTGAAATATCACTTTCTACAACTTATTTCTCTATAGTGCTTGTCCTTTCTTTTAGAATATTGTCTCGCTATGTGTTTTTTTATGGCCTGCTTCTTGCCACCCCCCTATATTTCTGACTCTTTTGTGCAATACAGATAACTTTCTAGGAAAAAGTTTTTGCTTTCTATTTTGAAAGATGCATCCAAGACTTTGTCTGGGTGACATGGTGGCACAGTGGTTACTATTGCTGTCTCTCAGTGGTGGGGCACTGAGTTCAATTCTGTACCTGGGGTGCTGTATGTGTGGGTTTCCTAGGAGTGCTTGAGTTTTCTACAACAATCCAAATATATACCTATAATTGGCCCTGGGCAAGTGTGCGTATGTCTATGTTTGTGTCTTATGGATGTGACATCCCATCCAACGTATACCCCCCCAGGGCTGGCGCATCCCATACTTGGGCCCGGGTGCAAGTAAATACAAAAGTCCCCCCCCACGGCTTCCTTCTCCCTCTGCCAGTGCACACAGAGCAAAAGAGCAAAATTAAAATGGGCCAAGATCTTGAACTTGATACTTAGTAATTAGTTATTTAAAAGTGAAAAACATGGACCTACCTTACAACTTGACCCATTACGCTTTTGTCGCAGCGAACATAGTGATAATATTGCTGATTTCCACCTGCCTTGCGCTGCTGTTCTCTATACACAACAAAGTCAGAGCTGAGAGTCTTTTCTGTGACATGGTGGACCTTAGATACTGTGTGTTTTGATCAATTTCAGTTTGCTAAACGAGCATTCAGCACTGGCGACAGCAACTAGAAATGTGAAAAACACTTTACATGCTATCACTGTGTTTGGAAACGCAGATTTCATATCTTTGTTGACAAAATACACTATACACTTTGTTGATTATACACACATAATTGGGCGGTGTGAAACGACGGCCATTGGTTTTCGGGAATTCAAAATCTGGGCCCGGGTTCAGTTGCACCCATTGCACCCCCTGTAGTGCCAGCCCTGACCCCACCTTGTTGGGATAGTCTCCTGCTTGATACTGACTTTAAGATTGAGATAGAATGGAACATTTAACCTGTGAAATAAAGGAATATGTGAAATATATATACTGTATATGCAAAGATAAAAGAGCAGCATCATATTACTAAAGAAAGAAAAGAAAGAAACCACTAGAATGTAATGCTGAAAAATTAAACATTAACCCAACTGATTTTTAATCTTAATCCCCAGTGTTCTGTGTAACTGGTTATGTGTTCAGCAGTAATATACAGTACATTGAATAATAATGTGCTACTGGCTGAGTCCTATGACAATGTATACTGTATACTCTATGTATGGTTCATATACAGTATCTTTGGAATCACAGCAGCACTTATTGCTGGTCCTAAGTATTTTGAATGATTTAGCATTAATGAGAAGGGATGAATTCAAAAAGGAAAAAATAATTTAAAATATTTTGTCGGGGTTCTGTTTCTTATATACCTTTTAGCCTTTGCTGGTCTTGAGGTCTTGATGTAAAATTATGATGTGACAAAGATGGAATTACTGGAATGATAGACAGAGGCTGTTGTAGCAGCATGTCTGGTTGGAAATAAATAAAGTAAATTATCTAATCAATTTCGGTAATGCCCCAGAAAGTTGTTGACCTTCAATTGCATCATGGATCATTTCATTGTATCAACTTCTGTTAAAATTAACATAGTCTTAATGTGTGAAGTTGAAGCTGGAATTTTGTCTGTGTAAGTTCTTTTTGCATAAAGCTTTTCTTTTGTTTCTCAGTTGCATACTGGGTCCTTCAAAGAAGAACTTCAAGAAAGTGATGCCAGTGTAGTACTGTTAAGCTAGCCTTCCAGAAGTACTGTATATTAACAAATACTGTACATGCTTTCACAAGATTTTTCTGATGTCTTAAAAACTGCAAAGCTTTTAAAATTTGCATTATTGATGACACATTTTAATTTCAAATCCTGTTTCAGAAGCAATTATTACTGTACCACATTTTACAGAGACTGTGTTGAAGATTGTCCTCAAGTATCAGAAACATGCTGCAGCACTTAAATTCAACTGCCGCAGTATAGCCAACGTAACCTATTAAAAAAGATGTGGGTAAAATTCAATTTTAAATGCTATGCTCCTTTAGCCTGTAAATGCTTCAGAAAATTCCAAAGGGGGCTTGTATCTGTTGACAGTTTGGCCTGAGAATTTCTGTCACATAGTTCCTGATTGGTTCTAATAAAGAGTAGATATAAGAGACCGTGAAAGAATAATTGTATTAACTTCAGCTGTAAGAATGGAAGAGTGGAAGAAATCCTGTTCTTGTTTATAATGGAGGATGTGAAAAATCTAAGCTTAAACTGGTAAACTGAGCAGGTACAGTAGCTAGTGTCTTGACCTTGCTCAACCTTTGTAGGCACTTCTGTTGTTGATTACTGGGTCATTGCTCTAGTATTTCCATCAGATTCTGACTGTGCTCTGTCTAAAAGGACTAGTTATTGTCTGTTATATGTTCATGTGTGGTTCAGTCAAGAAAGTCTTGCTTTTGCCACAAGACAGGAATGTGCGGCAAACACTTATTAAGACATAATTATTTTGTTAAAGCCAAGTAAACAGAGAAAACATGGAGACTGCAGTGAGTCTGACTGCAGTGTTCCTGGGAAATCTTTTATATCATGTTTGGGAGTACTGGATAAAAAATCAGTTTATTAATTAATATTCCTTATCTGTTTTTCAGGTGATCCTCATCTTGACAAAGCTCTATGACTTTAACCTGGGAAGTGTCACAGAAAGCTCATTATGGAGGTAAGATGAAAGACTAGAAAGTAAACTAGAATGCTTCTTCCACTTCATTATGGAAGCTTAGTGTTCACTGGAGTCAGAACTAGACATAAACTCAAAGATGTTTTCACAAGCTGTGGAAATGCTAATATAGCCAATTGCATGTCTGCTTTTCAGCCCTGATACTGTATTAAAGGAGGGAGAATGTAGAGGTTGTCATTATTTGTTTAATCGAAAGGGAATAAAAATACTAAAATAGTTGAACAAAACCTTCTTTTAGAATCTGCCTATTATTCCATATCTTCAGGTAATATATGTTTGAAAATGTTATAAAAAACAATTTTATAACCTGTTACAGGTTTGAGTAACAGTTTAACAGCTGTAAATTTAGTATGTTATGATATGCTATACCACATGATTTCAAAATGTATACAGTGTATATGTAGAAAATAAAAAACAAGAGAAATGTTCAAACTGTTTGAAAAACATCTTGCTTGCCCTAAGGGTTTCCTTCAGCTGTTGAAATCAATTTCCATGCTTTAAGTACCACATGGAGAACAATTCACAAGAGTAATATTTGCAAGTCTTTATTTAACTCAGCTGAGATACAGGAAAATGTAATGCAAATTCAATCCAAAACCCTATCATAAGCATTGAAGCTCTCTCTCTACTCAGAGACCAGAGTCCCTGGCACATGAGTTAACTCACTCACTAACAGTGAGTTTGTGATATTCAATGCTAGTGATCATTGTCTGATGCCAAAATATAGTCCCCAACAATCTTTTGTTACAATATGTAACAAAATCAGGACGAAGGAACAGCATTCTTGTCTGAGTGAATGTGAGTCATGACCAAAAAGCTAACTGTGCTATTCCTCTGTCAGAACATTTTAAAATGACTTCTAAACTTGACATGTTTGACACTTCTAGAACATTTTTCAGGTTGTAAAGTATAAAGCTCTCTTTGAAGAGGCTGTGAATGTTTAAAAGTTTAATGACTTTTATCAAAATTGAGCTCTCTTACACCCTGTACGGCGCTTGTGTCCATTGCAATAAATGATGTGCGAGACTTTGAACCAAAGACAGCCTCGTGCTGTCTTGGTTTGTATTTCACTCAATCAGATGCAGAGATTAATAAAAAAGAATGCAATGAGCCCCACGGTGATGCAAGTTATGCTTCAGGGGGTGGGAGGAGAGCTACAGTATGTAAAATATCAACAGTGGCTACAGGAAGTCTTTTTCTATCACAATTTACAAGTCCCCTTGAGTAAGATAACATTGCAGTAAATTTATAAAGTAAAAACAAGGTGAATAAGTTAAGCACATAGCTCACCCAATGTTAAATATTCATTGATAAACCCTTTGAGAATGTCAGAGAAATTTTCAAATGTGGCTCTAGTTGTCTTTAATGTGCCTACTCTCTAATGCAAAGCTGAGAACATTGAGAGTTTCATTGCCAAAGAGAACACTGCGGTTAGATTTTAATATACATAGGGCAGCCTCTCATCCACATTACTTGAGGAGTACATTGTAAAAATGCTTACATAATTTATAAAGGGCCAACAGAATAAATGCAAAGGGATTTCAAATTGTAATTTGTATTCTGCATATGTTTTACACAAATGTATCCATCCATCTGTCTAAATTATACACTTTGCATTATACTAAACAAAAACTTGAAATATATATAGTACACTATAATTAATGGAATGATTTAAAATAGAACATTCCATTGTTATACTGTATATAATAAGATTTCTATTTTCCTACATGTCCACAAATTGCTTGAATGGCAACAAGGCCCTCATTAAACTTGCAGTTCTGTCTTTGGAGAACACGCCCCTGTCCTTGTTGTCACGCCTGACATCCCTCCCTAGAGGGCACTCCACTACTCCTGTTATTGTTCTTATGATTAAGCTCCCCAGGTGTACCTTTTTAGGTGTATTATTTAAAGTCTAGCTCCTCCAGTCCTCGGGGCTCATCATCAGGGTAAGGATGTCATGAGGCCTGTCTGGCACCAGGAAACCCTACGTCCGTCTCCTGAGGGCATAGGCCTCATCCCCGACACCTCCCGCTTCCTGAGCCGGGGGTCTGAAGGATCTCGTCCCATCACCCTTGGACCTCCGTGTTTTGTCTGTCCGTGTGTTCCCCCCTCCCGGGGATTTTAATCTTGTCGCATCCCAGGATGGATTACTCGCTGATGGACTCTCAGACTGTGCCCTGGCCTGCCTTTGGACCTGTTTGAATTTGGATGCCGTTCTTTGTCTCCCCCGTTCACTGTCTCATGGACTGTCACTATTATTTTGTGCACTATTAAACCCCTGTGTGTTTCCTTTTACCACGCCTCCTGTTTTCTCCAGCTCTTACTGCATCGCATAGGATCTACTACAAGACCTGACATGGATCTTAGTCCGTGTTCGTGACACTTGTATTTTTGTTAGATGGGGATTAGTATTAGGAGCACGTAGTCTGTTTTGCTAAGCGACATACAGTACATTATGGATATTAATAAACTAAGGACAAGATACTTTTTGAGAACATTTGAGCTTGTACTTGTTACTAGTACCCAAAGGTTAATAAACTGGCTGCTGAAGAGTGAGACCATACTGGCAGCCTGCCCAGGGCTCTGTTTTTCTTTGAGTGCTAGTTGGGGTAATAGCAAGACTGAATGAGCACAATCAATGTGCAAAAGTTATCTCGACAGGAATCGGTGTTTCAGCATAAAACTTGTCACAAAGTGATTATTACTCTTTGACACAGCAATTTCATTTCATGCAGAAACAGGGCCTGTAAGCCTGTAGTGTAGGCAATAGAAACCACAACTTCCTTTTGCTTATGGGAATCACATCCTGTGGACAACCAATCATTCTCTGTTTACATCTTTAGAATTCAACCTTTAAGTCCAAATACAATAACAAAATTTGCTATATTAAATTTTAGCTAGTTGTATATATCTGGTGTTTACGGAATATTCTTCTTACAGTATGTAACTTGGATTGTGGGGTCATTAATCCTTATTCTTTTGATTACTCAGTCTATCCACTTCTGTTTTCTTAACTCAAATGGCAGGCAGATGCTGACTTTTTACAACATACCAAGAGACTGTTGAGATTAATTTTGATTATGAAAACTGGGCTCCTGGTGACCTTTAAAACGTTAAATAAAAAAGAAAACAAGACATCTGCTTTTTCTGAAGTAATATACATATGAATTGTAGGATCCAAGAAATTTCATGTGTCTTTGTGAAACGAACGGTAACTGTTGAAACATTTACATTGAAACCTTAAATTTACATTGAATCTCATTACAATTTACATTGAATAAGTCACCTGCAAAAGAATGTAGACAAAATTAACACAATAGTGTTGAAAATTTCAATTTATGTCAATAAATCAGAAGGCTTCAAAATAACTATTATGGGGCAGATCAGAAATCACTCATTTGATATTAATATGTACGATGTCCTATTATGTATTTATTTTGCTTTTTCATGGAGTTGTGTTCATTACAGAATTATTATCATTGAGATACCATGGTTGTTGTAAGATGAGAGGAGTGGAACCCTAAGATTCTTGCATACCTGCTCAGAGCCATTTCTTCACAATGACTTCCAAATTGCTTGGCAAACCTCAGATGTAATGCAATGTTGCTTAAGGGTATCAGTGTGAAAGAGACTTTTTTGGTGGTTGTCTTGCTTTACGGCCATGTCTTGCTCCCAGACATGGAGCTGAGTGTAGAACTCCTCCAGGATAGATCTGAGTTCTCATGAGATCAATAAAGTGATACTGCATGATCAGTGATGGAAGATCTGGATACACTTCAGTGGACACACTGGATACACTCTGGCCCAGTGACACCTGACACTGATTGTTTTTGCCCCATTGTCTGGGCTAATGTACTAAAACAGTAAGGTCTACATTTAAATTGAAGTGTGAATGAAATACTTGGGTGGCACAGTGGCACAGTGGTTAGTAGGGCCTTGGGTTCAATTTCAGTCCTGGGGAGCTATATGTGTGAAATTTGCATGATCTATTCGTGTTTGCATGGGTTTGCTACAGATGGTCTAGTTTCCTCCAATAGTCCAAAGACATAATGGTAGATGATTTGGCTTATGGGAAAATTGGCCCTGGTGTGCGTGTTTGTGTGTGCCCTTCTATGGACTGGTGTCCCATCCAGTGTGCATCCTGCCTTGCTCTTTGGATAGGCTCCCTGGTGACCCTGTACTGGATAAAGTGATTAGAAAATGGATGGATGCAGTACTTCTGAATTCTCAAGTCGTACTGCAATTTAAGAATGATAGATCGCTGTTGAAAAATAAAACATCAGACTGCATCAACATTAGATGAATGATGTTTGTTGTTCGAGAGAAAGAAAATAAGCAAGAGCAGATTGTGGCTTGTGCAGATAGGGATCCTTAATTGCAGTCTAGATTACATGTAATTTGTCTAATTTGTTTCTCATTAACAAATCTTTTTTTTTTCACTTCAACCTTTTTTGAGTGTGTATTACTTGGCAAATTAACACCCATCAAAAAATTTGCAAGATGTCACATGAACTTTTATGTTTGTAAACCAAATGTGTTTCTATTTTACAGCCTTGGTAGAACTTTCTCATCTTAATTTAAATGTTTTTCAAGATTTAAATGTTAGTTTTTATTAAGGTTGTCAGAAAAATTAATTCAAGAAAGTACTAAGAATGCAAGTAGGTAATTTTACGAGGGTGCCACATTGTCTGCTTTCTTTGGAGTGTGTTTTTGAACGGCTTCCTTTGATAAGTCAGTCTACAGTATGTATTAGTTTTGCCAGTACAAGATGCCTAAGTCTAAATTTCAGTCTACATGAAGGCAACATAGAATGGGGGCTCTAGAGAATGAGCTGCATTAAATACTGTAAATTTTAGTTTTCACATACTGTATACAGTGAAGTTATATGGACCCTGGGATGCACTTTGCTTGATAGGCACACCAGGACAATAAGGATTAAATAAATACAATTTTGCATCCTCTTTGCTATACAATTAATATAC